TTTATTATTTATTCTCGTTATTAAAGATTTTCCATTTTTAACTTTATTTTATTTATATATATAGTGGGGAAAAGGCTCAATTAATGACTTCATTGTTCATGCCTGACAACCCCACTCCATGGGATACCCTTTTAAGCCTTTAGGTCTTGTATGAGCTAGATACTCTCACATGCACCCTTGGTCCACACTTTACAGCTGGGCTCCCCCTCTCCTGCCAAGCTTTTTGTTTTTGTCTTTCAAAATTTCAACACCAATGCCCTTAAAATAGGGACTCTTGGGACATAAGACAGACAAGCACTTCTTACAATGTCCACATTCTAGAATCAAGTTTACAACACACAATACATTAACAAGCCCTAGACCAAATATATGGCTGGCACATCACATGATTTTCAATTTCATACATCCTATCCATCTTATGCTACAGCTTCCATAAAGTTACAAGCAACTCAGCCATGTGCTATTAGCTCTACAATATGGTTAAAAGGTCTTCCATCTTACTTTTCTTGGTTCAGTTCTTCACTGTCTTGGAGTTGAATATGGGGACAGGGTCTTATGGGTTCTCCTCTTGTCCATAGGAGTTTCAGGTCACCCCTCTTTCTTCCTAGAGTCAGAAAAGTTCCTGCATCAAGGAATGATATATGATCAGCTGATCCGAGCTGGATGCTCAAAACATGGTTTCCAGAGATGCTTCGTGTGTTTAGTAACAAAGATTACCTAGTGTAAATGGGACAATGTAAAGCAGTGCGGGTTGACCGTGTCCATCCATCAAGTTCAGTGCCACATATGTAATAAGAAGGCCTGCCATGGATCACAAAGGAGACAAGAATGAAATCTGTCTTTCACAAAGATTTCTGAATCTGGCAATGAAATGAGAGTTTGGATATTGAATTGTATTTTAATTATTTTTGCATTGTTTAACGACCATATAAAGGTTCTTGTTGTCTATATAACAAGAGAAATGTGATCCATCCACATCATCTCTTACCCAATCCATAAGCCAACATTGCCCACAAGAAGTACCCAGCTCGAAGAGTCTTATTTGCCAACCAATCATATCTGCAAGCACAATCAATGGTTTTGAGTAAAGATCATTTTAGATGGATAAATCATTTGAACTGAGAATTCCCAAAGAAAGAATTAAAGGTGGCAAGTGAGCAAGCTTCTGTGAGCATCAATGGAAAAATGAAAATAAGAGTTGCAGAAATGAACCTGAGTGAAAATGCTATCAGCAATCCAGGTAAAAGGATGTCCCCAAATCCTATGATACTATAACCACCCCATGGATCAAACATTCGTGGGATCTTTAGTAGCATAGGAATGCCATCCTCTCCGGTTTTATCACCACGAGCTACCTATGGAATGGACATGAGCCATTGGCATTTAGATGACCAGAGTCTAAACCAAAGGTAATTATGATCTAACTTGTATTACATCAGTGACATACCGAAATCATCACACTTTCATGGTAGAACTTCTTAGAAATGAACACCCAAAATATGTCATATAAGAATGCACAACTGAGAAGAACTGTGCCCACCTGAGTCAAACCACCCTCAATCATGTAAAAGGACGTTACAAGCCTAACATAACTATTCTGTCATTCAGGAAATAACTAATAAGAATGATAGATTACCTTGAGATTAGGCACATGGACAATTTGCAAAACTGTGATTATCAATGAAATTCCCTGTTCCAAAAAAAAGTGGTGTGCTTAAACTTGATGTAATATAACATACATACATAGCGTAATAAGAAAAAGAAATTGTATACATGATATAACGATGATTTCATACAAAGGAAAAACTAAAAAAATAATAGAAAAGAAAAAAGAAATGCATCTGGTTTGTTAACTCTGCTTGTATCATCCTTTCCTCTTAGTTTGAGAAAATTAAATAACAGCACAATTCGAACACCTATCTCAAAAGGAGGAAAACAACATCACTTTAAGAGAATATAGGGCAAATCTCTCACCAGATTATTCAGAAACTACAATGAATAAATAAACTATATTTTGTCATCATAGTAGATGCATTCTGTAGACAATGATGTACATATTTCCTTCATGTCATGCATCATGTGTTAAAGAAACCATAGATGATCATGGAAAGTATTATACATAATAAAATCCATGGGAAAGAATATCCTTACTAGTATGTCTTGGCCTATCCAAGCAAAGGGTTCATTGCGTTTAATAGCCCAAACAACAGCAGTTGCAATGCAGAAGGGAGAAACAGCCAGAGTAAGGTATGAGACAGCTCCAAAGAGAGGTAATTTAATGTATGACCCAGCAGCATGCTTGAACCACCTGTAAAAATGCAAACTTAATTTTCAACCAAGTAAGAATAAATCAATTTCCTTAACAATAAGGCCATCAAGTAGAACAGCCAATATAAGCAATCTAATAGGGAAGGCCCACTCAAAAGACAACATCCAGCAAAAACCACCACTTCTTCAATTTGGTAACTATGGCCACGTTTAGGCCCATTTAGTTCATATAAAACAGGAGTGCACATCTCTGGCCAGCTCATCATTCTTTGCACCCCAACCCCCTTCCCCAAACTAAAAAAAGACAAAAGAAAAAGAAAAAAAAAAAAAATCCTAAAGCCTCTCAAGTGCACATATGATAATCACTAAACAGCCCACAAGCGGATAAGTGTGAAGTCACGTCTTCAGATACTTTTCCCAAGAAAGATGAGATTAATATATTAATGATAGAGAATACAAGAATACCTTGATAAGAAAGCAACCAGGCAAGTTTGCAAGCCCTGCATGCAGAAGAAACATTACAGTTAGAAATACTATGGTTTCATTAAATCTCCAGAGCATTGAGTTATTTATTAATAGAAAATTAGATATAGACACATATTTTGCAGTATATACTTTTATGATCATCAATGAGGGACAGGCATAAGTCCATATGCGTGCAAATGCATAATGCTCAAGAGGCTAAAGAATGTTATACCTCCACACCTCCTATGCAGAAAAGAACCACCAAAACCTCAACAAATTTATAATTCATAAATCTGTATAGCAGAACCAAGAAGAATGATGCAAGAACAACAAATAGGATTGCTGATATTGTATTGATCTCCACAACACCTCCAGTTCCTGTAAGATTTTCACTTGGAAAATCTTCTACAGCATCCTGTAAGAGCAAGATAAATAAGAAATGGAGATATTTAAGCTGTTAATAGAGGAATGTGGCTCTAGAGAAAAAAATTAAGCTAAGCACAATTTATCTAGATTAACAAGTGACCTTTAACAGTTTATCCTGTTCAATAGCTGCTTCTCTTGCAGACCATGCAGACCAATAAGAAGCACACAAGATGGAACCCACTGCCATCAACCATAGAAACACTTCAGCTATGTCCACTACTGGCCTCCGCGGTGAGTAAAGCTGCACCAACACTGGAGAAATAGGAATGTATAAGAAAAAATTTGCATACATGTACTAGTAGGATGATTATGGATTTCACACTAAAATTGAATACATTTTTCATTAGAGAATGGAAAAGCATACCAGTTGAGCTATTTTTTATCAGCTTTTGCTCCAAGCTAGTACCAGCATCATGTGGAAGCATGACAGTAGGTATTTTGATATCTAGATCAGTTTCATCTCGCTCACAAACCATCTTGTAAAGTTCTGTACAGGGAAAAGGAAAAACATATTTAATGGAAGATGGAGGATGATAGCAAACCTTGATCTCTAGCAAAATAGACATCCCAGTCTCACCTCAATGGATTAAACTTTCTAAACCAAAAACAGTGGAAATCTGGAAATTACTATTTGCGATGATGGTTTAAGGGGAAAAATAATTGTTATAAAAAAAGTAGCATGAGTATGCCACTTTGATCATGTATCAAGGAAGCACCTGCACTCCATACCTGTCCTAATTAACAGGCGTTTGTGCACCATTAATAATAATGGATTTACCAATTACCTTTTTGGTTATTTATAATGAGAACAGCTTTAGCACCAGCAGCCTCAGCATTATTTGTCTTGTTCGTGAATTTGCACTTGCCTCGGTCCACCATGACGACATCTCCAGAAATCTAGCAAAGTTCAAATTATACGTTGGTAAGATTTAAGAGAGAAAGCCAAGACATGCACATTGGCTAGATTATAATGATGAATAAAAATATAAGTGAACCTTATTCTTTGGTATACTACAGCAATCACGAGGATCAGCCAGAGTAAGGCGCATTCGGTTTGCATTCTTCTCCTTTGCCACTATGGTAGTGCCAAATCTTGCACCGACACCAACAAATTCTTCATCCTCTACACCATTAACCCAAGTTTGAACTTTGACCTAACAAAATAAATGTCTAGTATTAGTGAAATTTTTACATGCAAAACCATTTTTCTTCGATCAAATGTGAACCTTATTACCAAAACACCAAAATTTACACAAAGCAGCACTTTGTTCATAAGGCAGCTACTAATGTCAGTACAAAGAATAAAACAATCACTAAATTACAATATACAACAGATCATGCAAAACAATTTTAAGAATCTAATCAAAATTACGATTTCACATGAAAAATGTTCAAAGTCTCTTCTTTAATTGAAGGCCATATTTCACAGGAAATCTAGGAGCTGCTTTCCAAATAATAGCTCCCTAAAGGAAAATACATTCCATCATTTATCTAGAACTGAAATTAGAATCACAAAGTATGACACACTAAAAGTAACTAGCTTTTGTTACAATTCTGTGACCAACTTCCAAAGTTTTATTCACAAAAATAGGAAGGTAACATCAATTATCAATCCAGAACATAATATACAGGTAACAAAAAGAAAAGAAGGGAAAAGGGGCAAATCAAAAGAAGAAAAGAAAAACATAAATTTCAGCCAGAAACTTTCAAAAGAACAGCAAACAGCTGACTAGCACATGTACTTCACCAATTTAATTGAAAACATGCAAAGTGGAAAGGCCAAAGGGTAAAAAGTCCAATTAACAAAATAGAAACTATATGTATCAATATTAACTGAAGACATCCAACCACCCAAAATTCCTACTTCCAAACATCCTCAACAAACAAGGCAGCGTTTGATGATACCAGAACAAAGTCGTTCTCGCAACCGGGCTTCTTGGGAGCTTTTTCGTCATGGTGTACTATATCACCGGCAATCACAGTAGATGGACAACAGGCTAACCAAATCGCAGCTGAACAAAAGATTACCCAGAAAATTCTCCGCAAATCCATGATGGGTTTTACTTCCTCAGCTTGATCCTGAAGCACCCTTTTGCGACCCTTTTGTCTGCATCAGAATTTGGAACACAAGCAGGGAGCTTTTTCTGTTTTGCCTTTACATCCGTATTTGTTAAGTTCTTGGTACTGAACAAAATTATACTACTACCCTGCATTTAACACCAGAGAATAAAAAGGCCACAGTGGTTAGGAAAAGACTCCCAGAAATGTAGAATCCAAATAATTTAAGCGAAGCAGATCTACTGCTTTTGAATCTGAAGTCAAGTTTGATGGCGAGAGGTGAGAGCTAACCTTGAGCTTGACGTTTAGCACTGTAAATTTGAGCTACAATGCCGTCACTTTAAACCCAAATCCAATTATTGGTTCTACAATTAAATTTGTTAAGACTATCAATTAAATTTTTATTTTAATTTACTT